GGAGGGGAGTCCGGGGACATTATCAGGGGTAAGGGGTAATATAAAGGGGAGAGGAGGGGAGTCCGGGGACATTATCAGGGGTAAGGGGTAATATAAAGGGGAGAGGAGGGGAGTCCGGGGACATTATCAGGGGTAAGGGGTAATATTAAAGGGAGAGGAGGGGAAGAACTTTGACTGGATGACCCCCCCAGATAATATTAGTGAGGGGACATAAAGTGTTTGTTGTGGATCTGAGAGTCATGTGACCTGATTGGGGAGTGCGGGGAGGCGCTGTATGCCAGCAATGGCTGCCTGCACCTCGTCTGTCATCACATCTATAAATACTCCTCCTTATCCCCGCGCTCCGGTTACACGGAGGGGTCACCCAGCTGCCGCGTGTGTGTGTCACGGTGACACGTCGTGTGTCTGATTAACCTCTTCCTGTCTGCGGACCCTCCGGGGTGAACCCAACCCCCCACACTTTGATATCGGTTGGGTGTAAAAGGATAACAATAAAGAGACATTTGTACGTTGGAATCCCTCGCCATCTTATTGGTTGGAAAGAAGCCACGAAATTGGCGCCAATTCCCGATGCTTTGCCCGTGTGGTGCGATCACTGAGGCATGCCGCGCGGCGTTCACCTGCTGGCGCGCTGCGTGCGGGTTTATGTCGGACGTCATATTGACAGGACTGAAATCCAATGAATGAAAGGGGCGGGGCAAGGGACAGTCAGGCTGTGGAGGAAAGTACTAGGTGATACTGGAAATCCTCCAGCCAGGAAAGGGGGCGGGCTCTATCTCACTGCAGCTTCTAATGCACATTGTGTGGAGCTCCTCCCAGTGTGCAGTGACATCAGAGGAAGAGGAGCCGGTACAACTGTGCAAGACTGAAGGGAAGGCGGAGTTTGTATGGAAGGGCGGGGCACTGAAGGAAGGAGGAGTTTGTATGGGAGGGTGGGACGCTGAAGGAAGGCGGAGTTTGTATGGGAGGGTGGGACGCTGAAGGAAGGCGGAGTTTGTATGGGAGGGTGGGACGCTGAAGGAAGGCGGAGT